AAGAAAAATGTAAGTAGAAAGTGGGCACGCAAAACATAGTATGTATAGTCATTCAATGTGTACAAGTCATGTATGATATTTCAAATATTATTTTACTAATTTTGGACTGAAATTGGTGTCTCGTGACCCAAAACGCCATCTGATCATTTTAAACGTATGGTTGTCGTTTAGAGTTTAGTGCTTAGGTATAAGGTTCTGGGTATTTGGTTTAAATGTATGGTTGGATTTATAGTATTGGATGATATTTTGAACATTAATTTACTAGTTTTAGAATGATATCAAGACTTTTTAACTCAAAACGGCATACTGTTGTTTTACTCGTAGAGGTGCCATTTAGGGTAAAGGATATAAAAAATATCGAATATATAATCATTTAACATGTATAAGTGAAATTTGATCCCTACTATTCAGAATGACATGCAATCATTTTACAAGTATGATTGTCGTTTAGGGTATATAGAAACCATTTATGGTATATAAAACATAGAACATTTCGAATTGAAATCAATCTGCTACCTAAAATGGCATGTGAAAATTTGAATAATACATTGAATATATAGTCACACAAACGTGAAATCAAGATTCTATTGCCCAAATTGATATGTAATCGTTTTAAACGTACGAGTATCAATTATACTAATTTCGTGTTCATTTCGGTTCACTTTCACTCGTTAGCACTTGAGAGTGTAAGAATGAGAATTTTGACTAGATTTTGATGTCACGATCTACACAAAGTTCGAACAATAGTGAGTAATAATATATTTGTTTGGAAATTACACCACGCTTGACAACGAACGAAAAACATGATACATCTATTCGTGTAAGAATATAAGTCTTCTATCATGTTCCAAACATTTATTTACTAGTTTAGAGTGAAATCGAGACCTCGTGATCCAAAACGATATATAGTAATTTTAAGCGTATGGCTGTCGTATCTACTAATATCGTGCCCTTTTTTCACTCGTGTAATAGCGCGTGCAATTGCAACTCTTTGTTTTTGCCCATCAAAAAGTTGAACACGTTGCTCACCAACTTTAGTCAAATAGTCCTCCAGAAGGGCGCTAATGAAACTATGTGCATTAATGAGCTTTGTTGCTTCTATCACTACTAAAAAATAGCTTTTCTTCTACGAAAAATTACCAACAGATTGAATCCATTGGTAAAAATAATTCACTTTCAACTATGATAATCAGCAACAGATTTTTAATTTGTAACAATGATATCCTTTTACCAACAGATATTCCGTGCCTAATGTAATCGTTTAACATTTGGCTCTTTCACCTACAAATATTCTATAGGGACGTATCAAATATTACCAACGAAAATAATCCGTTGATAAAAGTAATTCACTTTTAACTACAATAATCAGCAACGAATTTTCCATTGGTAATGATAATATCTCTTTACCAACGGATATTCTATGCCTAATATGACCGTTTAACATTTGAATCTTTCACGTACGGATATTCCGTTGGAAATTAAAAACGGATTATCCGTTAGTAAATGTAATTCAATTATCCCACATCGAAAGTTTACAACAAAGTTTTTGGAGTTGTTCTCTATAAATTTATGGTCCAATAAGTAGTTAAACAATATTTTCACTTTTGAATTCAATTGTTTAAATTTTTTTTAAAAATTATAATTATTAAATAAATAATAATAACAATAATAAAAAAATAAGTAAATAATTTTCTTTTTATCGTGCCTCACGCCTATACAACTATTTACAACATTGATTTTTACCAGTTGTAATGGTAGACATTTACCAATGGAAAGTCCGTTGGTATTGATTAAGATTTTTACCAACGAAAATTCCATTGGTAAAAAATTCACACATTACCAACGAAATTTTCGTTGGTAAGATGTTTACTCTTTACTTACGGCACAATCCGTTGGTAACTATCAACGACCCTCAAATTAACAACAGATTTGTGGTTGCAAATATTTCATTGGTAAAGTGTAATAACAATGGATATCAAGGTTTTAGGAACGAAAAATTCGTGCCTGAAATCAGTGAACTAGTTGACCAATGAAATGTTGCATGAAATGAAGACTATGATTCAAGTCGTTTACTAGTACATCGATGATCAGACATAAGTCACAGGCAAGGTAGAGAATTTCCTTATATTTTTATTTTAGCATATGGACTATTAACACCTCTAATTTGTAAAATTAATGAAAACAACAGGGCATCCTTAGTATCCCTTTCATGTGCCTTAAATACATCTAGTCAAAAGTTGCTTTATTTTGTAATTAAACATGATCATTGTCATTAGAATATACCAAAACACGTAAGCCATTTGATATTGCAAGACATGATTTTCAGGTGATAAAATAAAAAAAATCGCTAAATGTTACATTATTTTGTTAAAGGAAAAGAAAAAAGAAGTTCTCACTTGATGATAATGGAAGTAGATCCCTCGGTACCAACTACCAAGTGCAAGAAATAACTGCCAACTACCTACTAATTAAATGCATATTCTTGCAGAAGTAAATTTTCAAATAAGAAAACATGAGAGAAAAAAAGATTGTGTATAGACCCTCAGATCAAAAGCCAAATTCAACATGGACCTTATGTTTAGGAAATTAAGTTAAAGCTCGCACCATTAAATATGAACCACCTTAAAAGGGCTTAGTGAATGAATGAATCAAAATTTTAAAATACTTTTGTTTTATTACAACAAAATTAAACAACTAATTAAAATTTAATTCTATAGAGCCAAGTGAACAAGTCAAATGGAACAAGCAGTGAAACATAACTTATAGAGTTGCTTAGTAATAGTAGCGCCAACGAATCCAGTGTTAAAGTCAATTACATAAATAGTGACAAGAGGGGTGAATGATTTTGGTCATTTGTATGACTAAGTCATGTCCTAAAGAATTGTCTTTTCCTACTTTGTGTGCAAATAATCTGTGTATTTCCTTCAAAGATACCTCGCCATTTTCACATCATCTCCACAACTCTTCTTTACTGGTTTTGAGTCACAACAACCTATTTATTATCAATTCTAGTAACCCAATGGAAAAGATTACGAAGAAAAAAGAGGAACAAAAGTTCCACCAATCACTTGGGAATTTCAACAAACAAGTCATAGATGCCTTCAATATAATTCTCCAAATCAAAACATACAAACTCAAAATGCAATAAATTTTTCAAGGCATTATATTGTGATAAGAAGAATGAACAACAAGGTGCAAGGAAAATTACCTATTCGTAGATGCAAGTGACAAATGTAATTGGGAAATTGTTTACTTGAATAGGTCGTTTGCAACGGTGGTTGTTCACAACGAAATTGCTTGAAATGATGTTAGCGTTCGAAATAGAAGAATAATTATATACAAATTTCATCTCATTTAGATGAAGAAGATACAGAAGTATAGCTGTTAAAAATGGGAATAAAGAAGAAACAATGGTTGATTAGAAGAGTTTCTACGTTCCAGAGAAAAGAGATGGATTTGGGAAAGGGAAGGGAAAATTTTCTATGTTAAATAAATTAGGATGATTCAGAGAGTTTGTTAATATTAATTTAAAATATTTATTTTAAAACTTTTATTCTGGCCAAAAGCTATATTTGTAAATTATATTATAAGGTAGGCTATTTGACCCAATTTCCACATTTTTTAATAGACATTTTTAATAAGATTTATGAACTTTATATCTTCTTTTACTAACTTTAACATCAAATCAATAAAAACTAATTTTAGTAAATTTAAAAAATTTAAAAAATAGAAAATACCTGTTTGACTCTTTCAACATTGTAAAAAATTATAAAATTAAAAATAATTAATTAAAATAAATATTTGATATAAAATGTTAATGAATTTCTTATGATACTAGTTGGGGGTAATTTGGCAACTAAAAAATTGTTAAGAATGCATGTGTAATTTTATTGGTATCTATTACAGATGATTTGTTTTTCTATAAGAAAAACTTCATATAAGAGAATCATACATAAATGCATTTAATATCAATATAATATATTGTAAAATATGAAATTAAAAAAAGAGAGTGTGAAGCAGTGAGAGGACTTATGGAGGGAGAGAAAAATGATAAATAAAAAAAGTTAATTTTTTAGATAAACATAACATAATATTTAAATTTATGATTTTTTGACATATTAATTTTTTGTCACTTCCTCGTTGCCTTCTCGTTCAAGAAATTATCATTTTTATCCATTGAAATATAGTAAGGTGTAAACTCAAAAAATAGGTATGTATAGTGCATATAATACCATAAATCCAAAACATTTCCTTCTTTTTTAACCATACAATAATATATTATCCATTGAATCACTATTTAATTTTTTCCCCAAAAAATTGGGCATCAAATGAAATTTTTCTTCTTAAATTTTGGGTCATTTAATTAATTATTTCTTCCATGAACTAAAAAAAGGAGAACGCATCTCTTTGTATAATTGGAAATATCCCCTATCGATAAGGAAAATGTCACTTTACTAGAAAATGTTTGACACTTGGGATGACTGGCCCTCATAAAGTGCGTGGGTTTCACGTGAATTAAATAATGTCCGACACCCGAGATGTATGTGTCTGATAGGGATGTCAATGAGTCGAGTCGAATCGAGCCTGCTCGCAAGTCGAAACTCCAGGTTCGGGCTCAGCTCAGGTAAAATGAGCAAGTTCTTTTCTGGGCTCGAGGTTTAGCAAAAAAAATTTAGGCTCAACTCGAGCTTTCAGTTCGGGCTTTTTCGAGCCGAGTTAGGCAGGCTCAATTTTTATTTTTATTTTTTTTATTTGAAGTTAAATAAAGGCTGCCGTCTTTAAATTTCTTTTTTTATTCGGGCTGGCTCCGACTTTTTTCGGGCCAACGAGCCCGATAGTCATCCTTAGTGTTTGGTCACTCTTTATGTCAACTATTATGTTGCTGGGTTCTATCAATAAAAAGGAGAACTTATAGAGGGGGCATAATTGGAAATTCAACAATATCCCCTATCCAAAACCGAAAACTAATTAGTAGTACCTATTTATTTAGCAAGAATTCGGCGCAAATAAAAAGCTCAAAACTTCCTCAAACGCAGATAGAAAGAACAAAAATGTCAGGCTATCCCCCTCATCGACCACCCTATGGCTACCCCTACGGCGAGCCACCGACGTCTCAGTCCTATTCCTCCGCCCCTTATGGTGCGCCACCGCCAGGTCCACAACAGTCGGGGCAATCATCCTCTGGTTACTCCGGAGTCTCCACTCCTTACTCTGCCTATTCAGCTCCCCCCTACACCAGCCCTTCCGACCCCCACAAACCACCGAAAGATCATTCATATCCTCAGTCTTCTGCCCCTTATGGTACGCCTGCACCACAAACTTACGGTGGTTACCCTCCGCCACCCTCTGCGCCGTACGGAAGTCCTTTTGCTGCTCTAGTCCCCTCCGCTTTCCCTCCCGGCACCGACCCCAACGTGATAGGGGTTTTCCAGGCAGCTGACCAGGATGGCAGCGGGTTTATTGACGATAAGGAGCTCCAGACAGCGCTTTCGTCGTACAATCAGAGCTTTAGCTTGAGGACTGTTCATCTTCTCATGTACCATTTCACCAACACCAACACCAGGAAGATCGGTATGCAAGCTCTCTCTCTCCACATTTATGTTTTCTAACTGAAAATTTTGACCCGAACAAGTCTCCAAAGTCCCTACAAAAGATTAATTGATGGTTACGAGGCTGAAAAATCGCTCTAGAAATGTGTGATTCGAGATCATAAAACCCTAGGTAAAACCTTTTATTGCATTCATGTGCTAAATGCAAGATCTGTAAATTTAGGGTACAAGCAGGAACGTACTATACAATAATGCAGCTGTGGTTTGTTTTTTTAAATAAAAGGAGATTTTTTGATTGATGTCATTTGTCATTTTGTGCGGGGAAAGTGAAGTGGTTGGACTGCGGACTTCAGCATTTGGGTTGAAAGGGGTTAAATTAAGCCCCTTTCTGTCCACCATGTTCAAAATCACTTTTTTACACTTAAATTCAAAATTTATTCCCATTTTTTTAATGACATGTTCTTTAAAAAATCATTGTTCCAAATCTCATTTTCCCCCAAAAAAAAAAATAAAAAAAAAAAAAATTAATAATAAAAAAATAACTCGTGGCATCAAGCATAGTCAAATCTTATCGGGATTGGGGATGCCATCAATCATTCTACAGTTTGCTTTGGTTAAAACTTTGGAATGTATTTTTATCAGGGAATTTGATTAGGATTTTATGGATCAATATTTTACATTAAAAATTTTTTGGAAAGAAATTGGGTATGCATACCAGTAATACTTGCAAAAGTTGGGATTCTGGAAATTAGGAATATCAATATAAAACGCAGCTCTAGCCTTCAAGTATAGGACAAGTCCTTTTTGAGACAACAAGGACATATTTTTGGCTGTTTTTATGTTCCAGTTGATTGTATTGACTAGTGCTACCCAGTAACTTGTAGATCATTCCCAACTGAAAAAGATACACTGGAATTGGTAATCCAAGCCTCGAAAGGGAAGATGTCATAGCATTTGATTGTGACTGTAGCCTTGAATTAGAAAAGTCAAAGACTCGGCAAGGGAATGAAGTAATAGTTATTTGATTGTCAAGAGTCCACATGGTTTTAGGGATTTTAGGTTATTCTTCTTTAGCATAGTGTGGGGACATTTTCCTTCTTTTCGTTCAGCCGTTTTTGGTTGTATAAATGTAGATAATCAATCACACAAACAACAAGAAGAAGCTAAAGGCTTGTTCGGTAATTATTATGACAATTGATTTTTTGACCATTATAAAGAAAAGTGGGTTCTACTTGTGAGTGAAAAAGTCAAAAATAACAGTTGGAATAGTGAAATAACGTTCAAAAAAATTGATCTTTTGGCGTGAAAAATTTCTACCAAATGGGGGCTAAGTCTTTTACTCAACAAGATGTTGAAAGGGAATGTTACGAATTAGCTAGAGTATTGTAGTGATTAATTAAAATTTTATTCGAATAAGTTCAAATTTGAATTAGTCTTTTAGGTAGTCAGTTCAAGAAATTATTCATTTTGTGTTGTACCTGTTTTTTCCTATTCTTTAGGATTTATGGTTGTAAGACACAAATATATATGTGGGTGAATTATTGAATAAAAAGCATCACTGATTTATTTCTAGTCAGTTGAGTGTAATTGAAGGTTTAGGTTCCTCGAACGAACTACCATATTTTATTTACAATTGTTGAGTGTAATAACAATCAAAATAGGTAAAACTAAAGGATTTGTACCAGCTATATAGATATTGGGAGAGTCATATCTCAAAAGTTAGCTATTGAAGTTGGAGAGTCTAAGTCCATATAAGCCACATATTAAAAGTCCATACTTTCGATATGGGATTAAAATCCCGTACCTTGCATTGGGAATTATAAAAATCTACCACGCTCGATTGAAACCGGGAGACATAGTGCCCCCTCTGATACAACGTTGGTACAGATCCCTTAGTTTTACCTATTTTGATTGTTATCAGACTCAACAATCTTAAATAAAAGAGGTTAATTCGAGGATCCTAAACCCAAAAGAATAGGAAAATAGGTGCCATGTAAAATGAATAATTTCTTGAATTGACTAACTAAAAGACTAATCCAAACTTGGACTTAGTCAAGTGTAATTTAATTAATCTCTGCAATACTCTAGCTAATTCGTAATAGAAGTTGCCTTATTGATTATTTGGTGTTAACAAGGAGTGCCATTATGGTTCGAACTGCATACAAGTTTCTGAAATGTGGAAGAGATAAAGGAATACTTTTCATTTTGATCTGTTAATTTATTTGGAGTTGTGTTTTCTTTTTCTGACTTTTGCTTCTTTTGTTGTTGTTATATTTTGAAACAGGCCCAAAGGAGTTCACACAAGTTTATTATAGTCTTCAGAACTGGAGGGTAAGCTTAAAGGATTCTGCTACTTGTACATCAAAATGGTACATAAGCGATTATCGAAAATGATGTGGAGAGAAAAGATTGGATGAAAAAGTTGATTGTGTTTTAAATTGGCAAATTGTAGAGCGTCATGTGACATTATGTAATTCCTTATATATTTCTTGATGAACATGTAACAAGAGTCGAGCTTAGAAATCTTTTACTTTTAACCTTTTCATAGTTAGTAGTTCTAGTTTTATTCTGATACCAATAGATAAATAGTTTTCCTTGTGCATCCAATCTGATTAATTTTTCCATTCTTGTAGGCAATTTTTGAGAGATTTGACAGGGACAGGAGTGGCAAAATTGATTCGGCAGAACTGAGAGAGGCTCTTCTCAGCCTAGGATTTTCGGTATCACCTACGATTTTGGATTTGCTGGTTTCCAAGTTTGATAAAAGTGGTGGGAGATACAAGGCTATTGAATACGACAATTTCATTGAGTAGGTTTTCCTTCTATATATAAATATTTACCGTATCTTTTTATGCTAAATTACATGTTATGCGAGTATAACTGTATATTTTACTAATTATCTCTTAATATTGTTCCTCCTTTTCCCTTTCTATAACCAGGTGCTGCCTCACTGTTAAGGGACTGACTGAAAAGTTTAAGGAGAAGGACACTGCATACTCCGGTTCAGCAACTTTCACTTACGAATCATTCATGTTAACCGTTTTGCCTTTCCTCATTGCATAGAGTTATGGTCTTCTCCATTTAATCCTTGAATGTCCTGTCTGTTTTTCTGTATTTTATTCCCTCTTGCGACGTCAAAGACCTCTTAGCTTTTCATCCTTGGTGTCGATTTTGGTTTCTGCCAGTAGCTCGTGCTATTTTCTTCCTTGTAATTTCGATTTTATTAATATGGTGTAATTTATGTTGAGATTTAATTACTATCCTTCAGATTGTGTTGTTCATCTTTTCCTATAATAATGAAAATACTGAAGCCTAATCGATCAACTTGTATAATGCCAGTTTCCTCGAGGAATTTGGGACTGCAGATTCTGTGCAAATTTTTATGTGAACAATACTGGAGGAATCGTAATAAGTAATAAATGAGATCTAATAATTTGGATTATTGTTTTCACGAGAACTATTATCTAAATTCAACAATTCCTTAACTTCAAATCAATTGAGAAGAAATAAAGTATTTTTAATTTTATCTTAATATTATAAATCTACGAAAGTAATTAAAAAGTGTGAATTTTTTTAATGAAAATTTAAATGTTAGGATTCATGAATTCACTGTAATTATCCGCTTAATTTAAATCACTAATTTTTATAACAAATCATTGTGTGTATATGGTTGATTTCTTCTAAATTAATTATTAACCCCTATAATGAGGAAATTACATCCCATATCATTTTACATCTCTCAACTTCAAACCAAGTTTACCCAATTAACTAACACACCATATCTCTATACAAATTTGAATGAGCATTAATAAAGAACATTCAATTCCCAAATAATTCAGGTAACAAACACAACAACCATAAAAACGTATTATTCAAATTGCGGGTATTTACTGTGTGGTCTAAACAAATAACTTGTCTGTCGACATAATTATCGCCCACAAATCAATGAATTAGTGGGTAAGTAATTCAAAGTATTAAGAATAGAAGTAAAAACAATTTTACATTATCAATTGAAGATTTAAAACTTTTTAATTAAATTTAATGTTCCAAACTAAGTTACAATCATTTATCCTGACTAATTACTTAATTACACATCATGAAGAAAAATGATACAAGAACGAATTAAAATACATCACTGAATTTTAAGGTAAAAGGGAAAAAGATGGTTGATCTTGCACCGAGAATTCAACTTCTTGTAGAATTCTTGAAATCATAGTTTCTTAATTGATTTCTTGATTTTTTTCCTCCTCTTTTGAGCTCTCTTTCCTTGTAATTTACGTCATTTGTGTCCCAAGAAGCTCTTTGGGCTTGTATAATATGTGTACGATGAATCCCACAAGTCAAAGCTTGATATGTGTATAATGAAATCCTCGAATCTCCCTTCAATTGTTGAACTAAGGCACGCGTTTATAGAACAAGATTAAATTTTTTTGTTCAAATTGATTTTCACAAAGAGTTCGAGAAGAAATAGAAAATAATTTCATTCTTCAATTGGATTCCTTTTTCTCATCCAATTTTAGACCTTTATCTTCTAATATCTGTAATTAAGTCATCTTCATCTCAAAATCATTAATAATTGACCAATACAAGTTTCAAAAGTTTATAATTTAGTCCAAAAAACTTTTCAAATACTAAATTTAACTCCCGAAACTTATGAACTTTTAGCAGATACTTGCAAGCAAGCCATCGCAATTCAATTAATTTTCTATTGCTTCGAATCTCCAATTAAGCTCCAATAGTCCTTTGCATACAAATTATATTCAAGTTGAAATTTTAATTACTTTTTTCTTTGAATGTATTTACTCCTAACCTATCCTATACATGCACAACAAACATATATTATTATTATTATTATTATTATTATTATTATTATTATTATTATTATTATTATTATTATATTTTTAGAGCCATATTTGTTTCAATTTACAACACATTATCAGCACGAGAGTTTTGACAACTTAGCCATATAGGTAGAAGCTTTTCTTGCTTGATCTATTTTATTAAGTTGGCAAGCATATATTTTGGAATCTTCAGTTTTTGTCTGGGAGAGGCAAAGTTGATTGGTAATATTGTTTCAAATTTATGCTTTCACAAAATAATTCTGTTTTATACATGTTATCAATATATTGTCACAATTAATTTTCTAAGCAAACGTATTGAAACTTAAGAGGAAATTCTGTTGAGTAGAAACAGTTGACTCCAAAATCTGGTAAGTTGCGTTTCTCCATAATCTTTGTTGGAAATATCTTACAAATCCACCAAGAAAATTCAGGATGAATTGGGGCATAACTACCCTTATGTAGTTGTTCGTAGTAACTGGTCAACAATTTTATTGATATGAAATGAATCAATATAACACTTTATTATGATTTTGTTTCTCTGAGTTTTCTTTCTAATCACTAGTAGTAAGCATTTGCTTTGTACTTTTTATGCATCAGATGAATGATATGCTTAATATTTTTGAAATACTACTGCCGTTTTTTGAAAGATATTGAGGCAATTGATATTATTAAAGAAGAAATTAAAATTATTAAAAATAATAAATATATGAATAAATTTTTTTTTTTTTATGAAATTGTGTATATAATGTGAAAATGTTGAATAAAATGAAATATAGCCTCAATTTGGCCTCAATTACATTATATTTCATTTTTCTCTCTTATTTTTAACCACACAATCTTTCAGAAAATAATATTATACGTAAATCGAAAACTTTTCCTTCTTTTTCAACCACTCATTTAAAAAAAAATTAAATTATTTCACCCATTTTCATTTCAAAAAATGGGGGCCAAACTTGATGTTTTCATTACAACACTTCTTTTTATATAATATTTTTTTGTAAACGTCCTATAATGTTTCATCTTTTTATTTGTAGTTCACATAATTACAAATATGTAAACCACATAAAAATACTCACACTTAGGCCTGGACATTTTAATCGGAATTGAATCTCCCGAACTGGAGTCAAAAGTTTAGGTCCGATTCCTGAAAAAATAAGTTGGGAACCGGATCCGATAACCGATAACTTACTGGGTTCGGTTCGGTTCTTGGATCTTAAATCAGAACCATGGATACTCGAATGGAACCAATTTTTATAAAAAAATTTATTTACAATTTATAGGCTAAAAAAACATATAAAACCTAAAAATCCTAATTTTGTTAGTAATTAGTCTAAAACTTTAAATTTTAACACTAAAAAATAAGATTGGCTCTTACTTTTTTACATCTGCCTTACATCAGATTTTTGCATTCCAGATGTTATTCTATATTAATGTTTACAATTTGAGTATTTTAGAAATCAAAAATTTCAAAAAGGTTGTGGTGTAAGTTGATGAATTAAAGTGTTTATTCTTTGTAATTCAAGTTATTTATTTTCTTGTATTGTTAATAAACTTAAGTGATTTTTTAATTTTTCATAGCACGGCAATTGAATTTGATATATTCAGTGTTTGTATTGTGTCATGCATTTTTGTTATCTTGAATTCGTGGTTATCTTTTTAAATATATATATTTTTTATTCAAACAAAGTGAGTTCAATATGCAGACCGTAATTTTTTGATACTATATTAGTTATGTATTTAATTAGTTTTTTAATATATTAGTTCGTTTTGAAAGTAAAAGAATTTAAACATTGTTCATAATTAAATTATATGCATAGTGTCTCTTTTATAGATCGAATAAGATTTATTAAGAAAAATAATTTTTTCTCAAATTATAATTTCATTTTTTATCTTTATTTTATTTTCTCCTATTTTTGTGGCTTTTTAATATCCAATATTTTGCTCTTTGAAAATTTTTTAACTCAATTTTCTCCATTGCACAAATATTTTTGAGTAGTGGCATATTAAGTATATGTATTAAAAGGATCTATATAAAATATTTATTAAATAGATTTATATAAAATGCTATGGATAGAACTGAAATCGAACCGGAATTGACGGTTCGGGTTTGATTTTAGCATTTACAAAGACCCGAATGGTTCCATTTGTGAAATACTCGAATCATAATGGGTGGTTCTAGATATTAAAATACTCAGATCGACCCACTCGATGCCCAAGCCTATTCACACCTATATAAATTATTGAAACACATAATATTGACACAAAAATACACCAAAGTGGATAATATAGATTCAATCCTGAACGAATAATCAAACTGCATATCAAAAAACAAATTTATTGAATAAACGTTATTTAATAGATGCAAACACTAATTCCCCTTGAATGTGAATTATGACCTAAATTCAGCCACCATAGATATAGGTATTCCTCCAACATTACAAGAGACCTATAGTATCATACAATACATTAAATCTTGCAACTAAGGGGAGGCCAATTAATCATTCTTTTGGAAGAATTCAAGAGACAAGATACAAGAAATCAATTATTCAAAGATCCAATCCTGAGTTTTGGGCAGAGACAAGGAAGGTGCAACTGGAGGTCAATCAGAAAACCATTGAAGAGATTTAAGATTTCTTGATTCCTCCCTCTTTTTCTTTGTATATCAAGAATTCGGGTTATCTCTTATAATTTAAATTTTAATACTTTTACACTCAGCATTTTTTATTTTATTTTTGGATGATTGTTATATGGTTTAATACTTTTTAATTATCTGACAAATAATTGAATTGAAGTGTAATTTTTTGTAACAATTGTTGCGAGGCTTGAAGATGATAGAGATATATTCATATCTTTGTATGATTTCAATCGATGTTCTAGAGTTTTCATATATTACTTTCATGTTCGTATTTTTCAAAAAGATATAAGAATGTCACATGGAAGGATGTAGTTAATTTCACTCAACAAAGATTATTAAATGAATTAATAACATTGATCAACAAGATTTAACACATATTGTCATGGTATTGAATTACATTAAAATAGATTAATAAGGGAGACTTGAAGTTTTAGGAGGATGTCCCCCCAACCAAATTTAGGTATCCCGAGTTAGGATTTTAATGAAATTCATTAATATTTAGGTGTCACCAAGTGAGATTTTAATGAATTTTAATGAAATAATTTAAAATTTAAGTATTCTCAAATAATTAGTTGATTCATAGGATTTCATTAATATACAGATTTTAAAAGATTTGGATGAATTTCAAACTTAAAAATACATATAACAAAATCTTGTGAAATTTCATGATTTTTAATGAGATTCTTATGAAATTTGTGAAAATCTATTCAAATCTATAAAATTCATTAGAATTTATAATATTTTAAAATCTGTAAAAATTTTAGTTGAGAACACCCTCGTTAATACGTATCTTACAAAAGTTTTCATAGTTTATCATTTTAATAATTAATTTAATTAGATAATTTAGTATAGTTCATCAATAAAAAAATGACCACGGGATTAGAGTTAGGATTAATTAACATTAGATTGGATACATAGTCTCCATGGAATGATAATCTATTTATCATTATATTTTCTTACACTCGTGGATTCTCATCGATGAAGAACGATGATAAATCGTTCTCTTTGCTTGTGAAAGGAGCGTTATTCCATCCAAATTTGTCTATAAAGATGCATCACTTCAAATTTTTGCTTACAGCTGTGAAGCTTTGGGCTATAGTAAGCCCACTTCAATCTAGGCTGCTTCTATACTACTAGTACTGGCCTCGACTGTGCGTGACATGTTGAATTGCTATTATTGAAAGAGAATTTATTTGTATGGTTGCTTTTAAAATTTTCAATCCATTAATGGGGGTTTGGAGGAAATGTCGGTAGATCTTGCTACATGTACATCAAGTTTTATATAATAGATTACATAATACCACATATCATTATATCAATTGCTAGTTTAAAACACAGTCAACTTTTTTATCTAATCTTTTCCCCCCACATCATTTTATGTAATCTTTTATGTATCATTTTTATATACAAGTAGCATAATCCAATGTTTGTATGCAGGACACTAAAGACGCAACTAGTGATGAATGGTGGCAAATGGAGGCGAGTAAGGTACGGGGTTTTGTGTGAATGTAACTTTGAAAAAAAATTACGTACGAAGTAACAAGGATCATTACATTGTATATAACGCAATGTAAATTATTATTTCAAAATATTATATACACTATAACGGATCTAATAGAGTGTTACGTGCACCGTAAAAGATTCAGTCCCTGTCTGGTAGCAACTTTTACCAAAAAAATTAATTTTTTGATCGTTATTTTACTATTTTAGCTATCATTTTTGCCTTATTTTCTCACAAGTGGGATCCATTTTTCTCTAACGATCAAAAAATCAATTCTTATAATTACTACCGAACATGCCCTTAATTTTTATAATATTTAAGAAAAATTAAAAAATCATTTTAATTCACCCCGCCCTTTCATTTTTCTTTTATGGAAATTACAGAATTCCCGATTTTTTGAAAATCACAGTGCAAATGCTAAGCCAGAAGATTTTTTTTTTTATTCAGATTTCAAGTTTTGAAAATATTAAATATTCCCCCACGTATACCAAATCCTAACTCACTTCTCTCTCTCTCTCTTTCTAAACACACACACGACGGTCACTTCTCTTCTTCTCTCGACGCCGCTTCTCTTTTTCCTAATCTCTCCTCTCTCGACAGTGGTGGCGACGGCCTTGATATGAGCAGCGCTTTCAGATCTTCGACCCCGATGTTGAGCTGCACAGTGCGCGACTTGAGAGCAGTGACAGAAGTGTTGTGCGCGCTGAGCTATTACCAATCGTTGGTGCGGTGGTGGTGTTGGTGGTGGTTGTGATGGTGTTGTGGTAGGGTGGGTAGTTTTTGTGACCAAGTATTATGGTGGAATGGGATCTAGATTGGGTGTGGTGTTACGATGGTGTGGTGCAAGCGTCCATTAGGTGGTGGTGATTTGTCGCAAAGATTGGTATTGGATCAGGACCAATGTAGTGGGGTGTTTGGAATTTGTGACCAACTATTTCGCTGATTCGTGACAAAAAATTAAGTATTTGTGACTAAAAAATAAATTGTGACTAATAAACTGTGACCTATGTGACCCATAGTTAAAATATGACCTGTAATTTGAATGATCCATGACCTATAAAAATTTTGATTTGTGACATTAAAATAATATGTGATCAATTAATTTGATGATATATGACCAGTGAATAAATCTGTAATCGATAATTATGAATCAGTGACAACTAATTATATAACAGTAATTTTATTATGTTTAATTAATAAATATTTGTAATTAATTGGATACATACTTAAATTTTGAACTTTCAAATTATTGAGCTGACTTTTGAATTGGTATAAACAATACGCCTGAATTTTTCCCTCTTTTTTCCTTTTATCCCAATCTTTTGACCCTTTAACTGGGCCGCAGTGGGCTTCCTCTAGACAGCTTCCCCATAAACGCAACTGATACGTGTCATAAACAGTTCAAGCACACGTAAACACCTCACTTGGAAAGTGAAAGCTCCAAGAAACAGAGGGTGGCCAAGAAGATCGGCGATTCTGCTTTAGCAAGAGCTCTTTAGCTTCCTGGTAATTCTCTTTTCATCCTTCAAATGCCCTTTTACTTGTTAGCTTAACAGAGGAAAAACAAACAATACCTACACAGACTTGTTATGCGTGCGTGCGTGCGATTTATTACATAGATGGAGGTTAACAAAAATGAGTGGAAACCACAATGTTGATATACATAAAAAGGAATCAATCGTGGCTTTAAGTTTGCATATGAAGCAGAATAAGAATGAACTGTAATGAAATTGTCCAGTTCTCAATGTAGGTGAAGATCTGATTCTGTGCGATAGGAATGTTTGACAGTTTGAGATATGAGAGTGAAATAAGTTGTATACTTATTTTCATTGGTGCGTTTATTTGATCTTCTGGAGTTTTTGTTGATTTTTCTTTTCTCTTTGGAAAGCTTTCATTAACTGAGGATAGGAGTTCTTATAATCGAGATTTTCCTTTTTGGACTTTCGAACCACTTGATTGCTTTCAGACAGAGCCACGCTTATATAATTTAATCTTGTATTTAAATTTTATTCACTGTATTTTTGTGGATTTGGATTTTGGTTTTGCTATAGATACTCAATCCTAAGCATGAAGTGATTTTTAGAGTTTATTCCCCTTTTCTAGAGGCCCTTTATTGTGTAGTATATCCAGCCATCAGGTGGTTTTCTACTGAGCTTTCAGATAAAACTAAAATTAAGCATTATTAGTAACAAGGAATGTTACATGACTACACACTGTGGATGGCAGTATAGGACCAAGTTTATTTCATTTTCAATGAGTCTCATGGCTGCGGCAGAACTAATTTAACACTTTTAGCCTGAGATTCTATGCTACTGCATTGAACCTTATATTTTCTTTTATATAGTGATGATACAATCCTTGAAGAGTTATTTTTTATTTAACAGATTAGTTTCATTTGAAGACAACAATAGGATTTCTGCAAGCATCAATCATCATGGAGTTGTATTGTACAAAAATCTGAAAGGTAGTTGCTACTTTGATATGGGTTTTCTTCGAGCCATTGATGTTACATGCTATGAGCAAACGTTTTTAAAACTATATAGTTTGTGTAGATTTCGTTGCAACAGTGAAGTTCTTAAGTGAATTTCTTTGAACTTTATTTGAACTAGATAAGAACAGTGAAAGCACAGAGGAGGTAGCTGAAGATGTTCAACCTCAGGACATGAGAGAGAATCTGGCAGAACAGCCTGCTCCTTTTAAAGACGTCCCAGGAGTCAATAAATTTGACTTTAAAGATGCTGTGAATGCCAATGAACCTATTTCTACTGCATCTATAGATGCTTCTGGAGATGTCAACATGGAGGCCTCTAGAACAGCTGATGAAGTTATGCGTGCTGGAGGCTTTGGAGCTAGGGACGATATAAGTAGTTTTCTTCCAGTTGCAAGTGACTCCACTGATTTTGAGGCTTCTCTTCACAATGCCCGAGACTATGAAGATTTACAGGAAAAAATAGGTAGGCCAGGCCTTGGCTGGAAAGGTGATGCAAAATAAATGTATTCCTGTTACGAATTTACATTAGGTACCCTTGGTTTCTTCTGATATTTCTTGCTCCTTTAGACTTAGGGTCCTGTTCTTGATGGTTGAATATGTGACCTCGTTTCACTGTATAAGCGATGTGATTAAGTTCTTGTGGCAATTCTGGGGTTCATTCTTCATTATGGAATTTAGTTGTAGCTTTTCTAATGTTCTTCTTGAAATGACACTTGATGGTCATGTTCCTTTCTGGATGTTAATAAATGTCTAAGTATGGTATTCTCTCTTACGATAATATTCTTGAAGTACCATAAGCACTATTATGATGCTCTCTGAGACTGAAGTACAAATTCTTTTATGTACACTTAAAGAGGCTTTATGATATTTTATCTATGTGCCTCTAGAACTCTATTCACCGAGCGAAGTGACTTTAGGTCGTCGTCGTCCAAATGCCTTTGCTTATGGAAGATTCTTTGTCCAGGAGCTAGGATTGCTAGAGGGTCGTAGATGGACTTCCTTTGAGAGAAAACTTCCCAGAAAGTACCAAAGTGAGCTTTCCACTCTTCCCGAGTGCTATAATGAGGCAAATATTGTTTGATCCCAAGATTCGATCTTCCACAAAAGTTAAGAATTCTTTTGTGTTGGGTTAAGATGTATTCCAAGCCATCTTTTCCTGTGGAGGACGGCAATGCTGAAGACAAAAATGCAACTAGGTAAAAGACATCCTCCTCAGGCGTAACCATAGACGTTCCATTTTTCCACCTTCAATAAAAGTTATTAAAAGTCAGATTCAAACTGATAGAGGAAACTAGTTAGTTTCTTACTAAACAAATTAGTACCTTGATTTGTTGACAGGATAGATCAAGACAGGACCATTGCTGGTATCTGTAAGAATGTTTCCAAAAACTTCTTGGGTAAACTGATGAATGCTACTTCTTGGAATAAGAAGATTTAGCCAGGGGTGTGGCACTTCCCACAGCCCCTTTTCCCGAAGTTTTAATTCAGAGACGTGTACTCTATCCAAGAAATCCACGTAAGACACCTCAGATAAGAAGAGAGTGGATTGAACGTAATTTAAATCTGATAATAGAGTATCAATGTCCTGCATACAAGGAAATGGTTATGAATATGATAACCTTCAAAAACACGAGTTATTTGGTGTCAAAAGTTTAGTATCACTGTCTTTCCAAATTGATTGGGACAAAGTGAAGTAAAATGGCTCACCTTATCAATGTGATCAGAGTCTTCTAGGTTAAAATATTTTGCGACTTCAAGGCAAAACAGGACCCTACCTTCTGAAGTGAACTGGTTGGCTTGTACTGGGTCTTTGGAACTGAAAGAAGTTCTCCAGTTGTTTAATAAACCAGTCCTATTTATAATGACAAACCCTTCTATGTAGTTGAAAGAATTTTCAGATGATATTAAATGCTCTTGGTCTTTGGAAAATACGGCGAAATCTGAGTAAAGTGCTCTGATCCATTTAACCTGTGAGATGACATTTTGTGGGTTATATAAAGTGATCTTTCCTGCAGTAAGTTTGTAAGTTAGTGAAAATTTTGTAACCTTTTTGGGTGCTGGTTCTAGTGCAATTCTTGCCTGGGTGATGATACCAAATTGTCCTAACCCTCCAAGTATGGCATGGAAGAGGTCGGAGTTCTGCTCTTCTGAACAAGTTACAACTTCTCCTGTGCCTGAAACAAAAATGAATAGGATTAGTGTCCTCTGCTTTTTGATTGTCATAGGCAGGGAATTGTAATAGAGGAGCAATTCATGACTACATTTCAAGGCAGCAGTCTTTTCCAAATTAGTGCAAGCACTTTGTAACTTGAGTTAGAGAAAACCACGAGTCATTGCTGAATAAAATAAGGAGAAGGGTGGCTGAGCCTGTCCCCAGTTCATCACAAAACAACAATTCTTTGCTAGAGTGAAACCAGGGTTTCTTTTGCCTACCTAACTATATGATCTTCTGACAATCAGACTAATTATGAGTGTGAAATGAACACTGACCTGTGACAACCTGTAGCTGGTAGACGTTATCTATCTGAGGTCCATGCTGGAATGCTTGGCCACTGATTCCGGCGACAGATAAGGTGCCCCCAACTGTAAGATGAAGATAATCAGTCCATGACTTTGGTGCTAAGCCATGTTTAAGGCTTTCATGCAGAATATTTATCCATAGTTCACCAGCAGAAACATCAACATAGGGCAGTTTTCCAGTGTGAAAACTCATTTCTGGCACCCGAAGTGATTCCATATTGATAACAACACCTCCATGTGCTTGTGCTTGGCCTTCAAAGGAGTGGCCATGACCTCTAGCAGCAACAGTAAGTTCTGTTGTTTCACCCATTTGAAAAATATGTTTTACGATAGAGGAAATATCAGAAACTGATTTTGGATATAAAACTGCTGATGGCATGAAACGGTATCTACCGCCAAAGTCCTTAGCCGTATGTTCGATATTTTCAAAGCTTAGATGCCCATCAAATACCATCTCTACCAATGATGAATGTAAAGATAAATGAGGAGAATTTGTTGAAGTAATAGAAGGGTGGTTGGAGCAGAGATGTTTTTTGTTGACTGTAAAGCTAACAAGAAAAACTGTTAGAATTCTTAAGGCTATCGTGTTATGTTTGAAGTTAATCATCTCTTATGGGATGGTAGAGAGAAAGGAGCAGTTATATCCTTTTTTGTTTCCTGTATTCTTCTTCGTGAATGAATAAATCAAAAAGAAAGTAGAAGAAGTGCCTCGAAAGTGAATGATAGAGACGAGTATATAAAGAGAAGGATGTGGTTGAACAGTCAATAGACACTCATTTTGTAAGTTCTTATGATTGTCTACTGTTCACAATGGGGTTTCTTTTTCAAGATTATTCTTCACTCATCCTTTTACTTTCTCAGAAATTATACAAGAACGAGATATCGCATATTCTCTATAGCTTTCCACAGTTTCAGCCACCTATGTCGTATTGAGCTTTTATATTAATTTGAGCAAATATGATCACATGTGGAGAAGTTGATGAATTCATTTTCTGGCAATTCTATATGTTGTGTGCATGCACTGTTTTCAGTTGTGTATGATGTATTGTAAAATTTCCTTGTTATGGGTCCCCACTATGCCCCTATTTGAGCTCAGTTCTTTAAAAACTCATTTTTTCTTAAATTCATTTTATACCACACAATTTCTCAATGAAAAAAACTTTATACGTAAACCCATTTTTTTTCCTTTTCTACTTCTTTTTCTTTGTTTCCTTTTTTTTTTTTTACCACACATTCTCTGCAAAACTCACTATTATAAATTTATTTTTCCAAAAAAAGGGGCTCAAACACACTCTAAATCTCATTAGAACTGATAAGAAGTGGGAGACTTAAAGCGAAATTCACATTGTCTATTGAAGGTGTTGTAGTTTACTTGCTCTAGATCTTGTAGATCTAGAAATGAACCGAAGAAATGACCAAAAATATGTATCACTGACTCCAAATTATTGAGAACAATAACTAGTTCATTGTCGGTAGCGCACTAAATTACTAGTTAATGGTATCAATGTCCTATCGATTTCTTTATGTTAACTTAATAGTCTGATAGCTATTTTTCAGAGAAAAACCTGAGACTTGTTCACAGCATCCATTGGCTCCACGTGAAAATGTGTATTTTATCACCAGTTCATTTATTTATTTTGTATTTGCATGCATAGATTGTGATCATAATCTAGATAAAGTATTTTTGTTTCTATTTGGAGGGTGAAAAAACCATTGTGGGGAGGCCCCTACTGGATGCAATGCTTTTAGAGTGTCATGATTGAATCAGAAAAGGTCAGTTTCTTGTTTTAGCACTTGTACCAATGTAAATGATTGTAACATAATCTGCCTAAAACTTTTTCTTTTCCATGTCTTTATATTCAAAGTGGAATTTTTTCTGCAATATGTTACACAGCCAAACACCATTTTATATCATAATTTTATTCTTCCAGTTGGGTTAAACTCAGAATATAGAAGGGCCGGAGAAGAAATATGGTGTAGTAATGAAACTGCAACGGACGTTTTACCGCATGCATATGTTATGCTGTTAATTCTATGTTATGTTTGGAAGAACCATACTATACATTATTGACAGATAAATTCTGTGTCCCATTTTTATCACTTTCTATATATATGAATACCTATGAATGTACTCTAAGAACTGTTTTTATGGTTCATGTATGGAGGGGCATGGGGCACTTGTTCTAGTGTTGATAAACAAATATGGCACAGAAACAAATTTAAAACTCGACAGTTTGAATGGGGGGAACACTAAACAAAGTATCAATGGAGTCTTGGATCCCAATAGTGGGACAATTCTAATTTTATTCTCCAATTACATAATACTATTGTGTCAATGTATGTTGCTTTCTTGGCCAATCAAAAGCACTCAGGTTTCTCAGATTATTCCTCCATTTATTTGGTTCTAATGCATTCAGTCACAAGTATTTTCATTACATATTATGTGCCAAATTTAGATTTATTGTATGGCATTCGTGCTCGGTACATCGGAGTTGAAAATGCATTGTTACCTTTTGTTTATGGCGCAATTATAGTGTACATGCAAAGTTTTGCAACGGGAAATCTGGCAAAAATTATTTTGTGTGATGTGGTGATGTGATGAAGTTGATGTCCTATCCTGTGGTTGAGATCATGATGATCAAGGAGATTCTTCATTCTCGTAGTACTGTTTCCCATTTGAGGACAGTACAATACCAACTCCAAGAAAGTGTATTTTTGATCGAAAATAGTAGTGCAACATGTCTCCAGCAGAGAGAGAATGTGTGGCATTTTTTTCTACAAAGTAGTTACTGCATATATCACATTTTAACTTTGTAATTCAGGCATACTATTATCTAAATTTTGATACCATATTAGAATAATTCTAGACGGACGAGTCGAGTGACCAAATTCAATTTCTTTCAATCCCATCTACCTACCAACGTGCTAAACATGTCAACTATTTCTTTAGTTCTAGGGGGTATGCATGTTATGAAATTGATCTACCGCCCCCCATTGGACCAGAGAAAACCTTCAAACTACTAATGTGGCAAGAGAACTTCATCAGGCGCGATGCATGTTAAGAAGCAAGTGGTAAATATTGTTGGGCCGGAAGGATTGTAGTAAACGAGATTAACGACGCGATATGATGTAAAGAAGATCGCAACAAGAAACAATACTTAAAAGTAAATAAA